AAAATGTTACACTCAAATTTTGGCGAGGAAAAACAATGACACCCAAAATGTTACACTCAAATTTTGGCGGGAAAAACAATGACACCTAAAATGTTATATTATGGATTATGATGATATGCAAATGTGTGATATGAGGATAATGAATGAAATCAAAATTTTAAACTTATTGGAATCTAGAATTTAGTTTAGATTTAGTTTTCTCAAAAATAATTAAATGATACAATATTGTAAAACTATTTGAATTATCTATGCTACATTATATACTATGAATTGGACATTATGCAAGTTTTAACTATTTTTTGTTTAAATAATCGTGAATCTACATGAAACAGTCATTATTTATCACAAAATTAAAAAAAAAAGATTTTTTGGAGGGACAAAAAATAGCATTGATAGTTTGATAAAATAATGGAAATGTTAAATGAAAATGTCTGTTTAGATAAATCTATAGCCAATATTTGGGTAACCTTGTTAGGAGTACAAGTAGCTCTAATTTTGGAACAAATATCATTCATTCAGGTACAAATATTCCTTATTTATCAAGTAACCTTTTTAATTTTCTTTTTATATGTAGATTTGAAGACTTATATTTTCAACCTTGCAATGTGTCAAATAATCGATCATCACCAGCCTATCTATGCTTTTAATCAAGTCATGTAAGAATATAAATAAGTGAGGCAATTAAAAGTCTGTACAAGGGACACAATACTGCTCATTAGTCACTGTGGGAAAACACTGCCTGCACTGATCGTGGCTGTATTGCCAATTTTAGATGGGCAGCAATATACAGAGCTCAATAATATCATTTTTAGTCATTTTTTAATTATTAAATAATTACTTAATTATCCAGTCATCATAGACTACAGTATACATGAATTAATGAAATATCAAAGTGAATAAACTAGAAATCTACTCTTTGAATAGTTGTCACTATGCTGTATTCACCTTTTGATTTTCATATAACTACACTTGAGTACAATACAATAGGAAATAAAAACTACTGATACACACTTAAAAACCTGACATATAGGTTGGCATAATGACATAAGTGTTACTGTGAAATATATACGGTATTAAACACATATCAATTGTATGATTGTGTAAGAGTGTATTAGATTGCAACTCGTATAGTACAATTTGTTACTCCCAATGTCTGAGAAATTCTTACAAATTAAGTGAGTAAAATTGAAAGGGTTGCAGAAGATTAATTAATCGCTTCAGAACCGACAGCTGAAACATTATTCACTCAACGCAGTGATGAATATTGCCAAAGCATAAAACGGTGATTTAAATTGGCTGTTGGTTTCCTACGCTAATTTGTATATATTGCAACAATACCAAGTTCATTGTTATTGTATCTCAAGTGATGATTGGACTAAACCATTCATAAATAGGGATAAATCAGAAAGATGTAAACTTTTCTTGAAATGTAGCGATAGATTAGTGTACTAGAATCATCTAGATGGAGCTGTATTATAACACTTATTTCAATACTATAGGTACAAACTGGTCTTAAAACAAACCAAAATTAATAATATATAAAGTAGAAAGTGAATAAGAATTGTACTTACCCCTACAAAGCAGTGGATCACTCAACTCAATCCTAACTTGACCTGTCACAACATCCCCAGCATTATATACTTCGCGATTGTTCTCAAAGATGATGAAAAATTTCTTCAGTCTTCCCATTTTAAAAAAAAGATGAATCGGTGTTTGTAGATCATGCAGTCAATTAAACAAAAATCTCCAAAGTTAAAGCGTTCTTGCTGTAATTATTCTGTGTGGATTGAAATCTGGCCATCAATTACGCCATACACCCAAAGTGTATTAGCACAGAGTGTAGACTGCACCCAAGGCATATGCATTAATAGCCCCAGTATCAAACCTTCAGTTGTGTGACCACAATAAAAAAACACAGCTAATACACTACAATTTAGCAAGCAGAGTTTTCAAGTTTTCCAACCGATAAAATCTTGAAAAATACAATTTCAGCGATAACGTATACTATGAGATGTATTTCCACAGCCACCTTATACTGATTGCTATGGTAACGATAGCTCTCTGCAGTCTCCTTAAGCGATGTGGATCATCTCATTTTCAAGCACACATGCAAGGTATCATCCAGGTTAGTATGTATACAAGAGAACATGGAATATCAATACAGTCAGTCAATAAGGCTTCTTTTATCCCTGTCTTCTCTGCAGTGAGATGTCAGTTCCTCCAATATACTAGACTACAGTCTTCATCTGGTAAACACGCACAATCTCCTTGAGTAGTTGCAGCAAGGTAATAGACTACACTCACTATGTAGAAATCAATACTTGGCACAATAAGACAGGATTGGCTCCTTGGTTACAACAACAAGGTGAAATGATCTGTTTTGGCAACCTTAGACATCCAACATCAATGAACATAGTTCTGTCGGCTTTGACAATTCTGTATAGTATGCATAGTCAAAAGAAGTGACTAGTACGGAATACCAAAGCATTGACTTTTATTAAATTATCATCATTCAATTGAAAACATCAATATTGAGTAGATATTATAAGAATAACATGAATATTAATCAGACAAAACCATATTTGGGTAAGCATTCATGAATATTAATCAGACAGCACCATATTTGGGTAAGCATTCATGAATATTAATCAGACAGCACCATATTTGGGAAAGCATATCATGAATATTAATCAGACAGCACCATATTTGGAGTATAAGCCTCATTTATATTCATGTTCTGACCTTACAAGCACACTACTGCTTGGTTTCAAAATTAACACTTATATACAGACTGTATTTGTATACAGTTTTCACTGTATTTTTTTTATCATTCACAACACAACAGTATAGAAGATATTTTTGCAGTAGATATTTTATCATACTAACGAAACACAATTTATTTTAATGTTATAAATGTTTACTCCCGATATAGATCTGATAATTCAAGAACTATCAATTACTGTCAGTCTGAGCTACAATTAGTTCACAGTAATTTGACCTACTGTTGAATTAAAATAAAAATATTGAACATACATTTTCAAAATTCTACATGAAATGAAACCTGATTGAAATTTGAATGAAATTTGGCAGTACTGACATTTAGCCAAGTATTTTCCTCATGTTGATGGTGGGATTACCCATAATGCACTAGCCACAGTACATTTGTAAATTCCAAATTCTTTCTTTTTAAGATTTCTGCTTTAAAGGGACAGCCATTAGGCTGTACAGCTGTTAGATTTGTGTCCTTTCCAAATTCTTTATCTTTTAAGATTTTTGGTTAGAGAGGCAGATATTAGGGTTGTACAGATCATGATATGTCAGCCTTTTCCTCAATTATATTTTCAAGATTTATGTTTTGAATAGACAGTCACTAGGCTGTGAAGCTGTCAGATTTGTGTATTTTCCTAATTTGTTTTCGAGATTTGGGTTTTAAAGGGCCAGACATCATACTGTACAGCTCTCAGGTTTGGTAATTTTTTCAATTCTTTCTTTTTTAAGACTTTTTCTTTGAAGGGGCAGTCTTTGGTAGTACAGCTGTCAAATTTGTGTATTTGTTCTTTAGAGATTTATGCTTTAAAGGTGCATATATAGTATGCACAGATTTGTGTAGTGTTCATGTTGTAAGTCAACCAGAAAACTGTTGAATG